CTCGACTGTGGCCAGATTCACTCGTTCACTGTGATGCATGCGCGGGACCCGAAGCTTGTTGTCATGCAAAACCTGCTTGACATGTTGGAGCTCGGCAGCCAGGTGTCTACTGTCACATATCCCTCGTGCTCTCTGAAATAAAAATTTACCCACGGTAGCTAACTGTGAAGGACGGTGGTGAGAATGCCGTTTAAATATCTATCTGTATGGGTTTTTTTTTTCTATACACAGTACGGCCCAAGGTGTTATCAGGATTCCGAATTACTAACACATCTAGAAAAGCTAAGGAATTGTTTGCCTCTAACTCCATTGTGAACTGAATTTTAGAATTTATAGAGTTAAGATGGTCTAAAAATGCAGTTACTTTATCTAAAGGTAGAATTGTGAAAGTGTCGTCTACGTACCGCTTGTAGAAACTTGGATTTATGGAAGAAGTAAGCAGGGCTTTCTCCTCAAAGTCTTCCATGAATATGTCGGCGACAATGGGAGATACAGGTGAGCTCACCGCTACACCATCTACTTGCTTGTAGAACTCCTCCTTCCACAATAGGTAGCCAGATGTAAGGCAGTGTCTGAGTAATACTGCATATTCTTCGGGCATGTTGTTTTCTTCCAGCCTTCTAGTTACAATTGAGATGCAGTTTTCAACAGGTAAGCATGTAAACAATGACTGCACAACAAAACTGATCATAGTTTCATTGTCTGCCAGATGTAGGTCATTAATCTCGCTGACAAAATGGTAGGAATCCTTTATGTGTGCTCTTGTATGTCCCCTGAGCGGCGAGAGTATTTTCGCTAAGTGTTGAGCCAATTTGTAAGTTGGTGAATCGATTTAGCTCACTATGGGACGTAATGGAGCATTGGGCTTGTGTGTTTTTGGTAACCCATACAACTTTGGTGATTTGGCATTTTACGTCCAGATTTAATTTTTCGAAGTGTTTCTTTATGAGGTCACTAGTTGTTTTTAGTGTGCTAGTTGTTTGTCACGTACTTACATCCGACAAAAGTTCTTGTAATTTAGAGTTATAATCTGACGTATCCATGACAACCGTGGCGTTTCCCTTATCTGCGCGGAGAATCATAAGTTCTGGTTTATTGCGTAGGTTCTTTAACGCTATAAATTTGTCTTTGGGAAGATTCGGTTTAGGCACTGAACATCGACGTAACATAGACGAAATTTCTTGACGTATCGCCTCCAAATCTTCTTTTCGCATATTGTTTTTAATAAACAGTCCTCGTTACTACAGATAATTTCTTCGTACGGTAATTTGCGTGGTGTTATAGCAAAGTTGAGGCCTTTGGATAAAACCCTAAATGTTGCATCATCCAGTGTTTGTTTTGACAGATTATAGAACGCGATTAATCTATGATCATCTATGAGACATACAAGAGCACACATAAAGGATTCCTACCATTTTGTCAGCGAGATTAAAGACCTACATCTGGCAGACAATGAAACTATTGTCAGTTTTGATGTGCAGTCATTGTTTACACGCTTACCTGTTGAAAACTTCATCTCAATTGTAACTAGAAGCGCGTTTCCATCAAAACATACTTCAACCCGCCGAAGAAGGTTGGTCAGTTTTTACCATCAGTCAAAAATAACGTCCCTCTACAAGATGAAGGAGTGTACAAGCTTGATTGTGAATGTGGTCTTTCCTACATAGGACAAACTAAAAGATCAATCAAAACCCGCGTTAAAGAACATAGAGCTGATGTGAAGAATCGACGCTCCAGGAAGTCTGCAGTCTGAGAACACGTACAGGATCGCCTTCGTCACTACATCGGCTTTGATAGACCCCAAATCCTCGCTAAAGAACACCGATTCCTTCCAAGGATGATTCGCGAGGCTATTGTAATCAAAAAACATCCTAATTTCAATAGAGAAGATAGCTGGGTGCTACCATCTGCTTGGGATACTATAATAAATAAAATTAAATCCCAACCCAAGCATACGACTGCAAGACTTCAAGATACCATAAGTTCATACTGAGTAGATCGGAACAGAAGTTAAATTTTAATCTATGGTAACCGCGGTTAACTATGACATCTGGACGTTGAACATCACAGTCCCCGCCGTGACCATGGGTGCTGCAAAGCTCTCAAAACGTCGGGTATTTAAAAAGTTAAATATACGCGATAAAATCCGTAAAAACTAGTATTATTTCAATGTATAATGTTCGCATAAATATAAGAAATCATTATTGTAGAACGATGTTTATTGTTTTAAATAGCTGTTAAATAAATTTAATAATAATTATATAATTTTTAATAAATTTATTTAGTTTCATCACCAACATATCCCCTCACAATTACACTTCTTCTCTCCTCGAAGGAATGACATAACACGGTCCACCACCAGTATCTATAGATTTTCCATCCAGTGCCACCATATACTTCGCTTACTGGTACGAATCAGCTTCGTAAGAACCTTTCTTCACCATCGGTGTCGGTTCTTCGAGCTGTAATATGGCCAGCCAATTGCCACTTTACCTTACTGATCCGCTGTGTTATGGTAGTTACTTAATCATATTTATTATTATCTATAATTGTGCGGACAATACAAAGATGCGCCCTACTTTACAATTTATAGCATGTGTTCTCATGTAAGTAGCATTCTTATATTTTTAAAGAAAAAGTATTTATGAACTTAACTTACCTAAAAAAGAAAATAAAAATTTATAAGTAATTAAACATATCCGTATTCTTTTGCAACAAAGTTCCAAAAAGATTACCTTATTAACACACTTATTTTACAGTACCTACAGAAATTTTCCCCGAGCTCAGTCCCTAACGAGACACGCGGAAACCGACCTTAAGTTACATTCTTTGTTACTAATTAACATTTCTTTTTCCTTCGATTAAATTCCATTTTATTTTCAATGAAAAATTATGAAATTTTTACTTCAATAAAGAATTTAAGCGCTCCATAACTTAATAATAATAATAACTCGGTGCCCCATATATGGCTAAAGAGAGTCCTCGAACTGTACAAGATAGACTGTACAGTTAGAGACTTCCTCGAGCAGTGTATGGGGCAGTGGAGTACGATCCTTTGTCATCTGGGCGAGCGGATGATGGCTGCGGAGAACCACATAAGGATAAGAAGGGGTATCTTCCAGGGCGATTGTCTGAGTCCAATATGGTTCTGCCTCTCTCTGAGCCCTCTCAGTACCTTACTGGAGGGCTCCGGGAGGGGATTTCAGCTACGGAAAGGAGGGACAAAAGTGACCCACCTTTTCTATATGGATGACCTCAAGTTATTCGCCTCCAGTCGCTCCCACCTTATGGAATTGCTAAACATCACTAGTGAATTTAGCAATTGCATTGGAATGGAGCTGGGGACGGATAAGTGTGCGGTACTCCATGTTGAGAGGGGTAGGGTTGCTAACTCTGAGGGCATAGACTTCTCTATGTCCGTCAACTTAAGGACCCTTTCCGAGGCTGAAACATACCGATACCTGGGTATGTCACAGAACATCGGTATCGATGAGGCTGGTATGAAACAGTCAGTTTGCGACGTGTTTTATGCACGCTTGACCAAAGTGCTTAACAGCCTTTTGTCCGGTGTGAATAAGACACAAGCATATAACGGCTGGGTCATGCCGGTCCTCATGTATACCTTTGGCATACTTATGTGGACTCAGACTGAACTTAACGCCCTGGATAGAAAAGTCCGCACTACCATGACGTCCAACAGGATGCATCATCCGAGATCTTCGGTAATGAGGCTGTACTTGCCGCGAAAGCATGGTGGGCGTGGCTTCTTGAGCGCGCTCACCATGCATAATCGCGAAGTGTGCAGCCTCCGTAATTACTTCCTGGCGAGATCGGATGATCCATTCTATAAGGACGTCATTTCTTGTGATAAAGGACTTACCCCTCTATCCTTAGCCAACGAGCAATGGCAAGACCCGGCAGTGCAGACAATTTCCGACCGGTAGACCGTATTGAAGGAGAAGGAGCTCCACGGGAGGTTCTACAAGTCTCTACATGGGCCTTTCGTAGACACAGTAACCTCCCTCCACTGGCTACGCTTTGGTGACCTCTTCGGGGAAACCGAGGGTTTTGTCTGTGCAATATAGGATCAGGTTATTAAGACCAACAACTATCGGAGATACATCCTAAAGGATGGCACCATCGACATCTGTCGAGCTTGTCGCCATCCCGAGTGAGTCACTTAGGCATGTCATCTCCGGTTGTTCGGCGCTTTCTAACTCTGAGTACTTGCACAGGCACAACCTAGTAGCCAGAATTCTACACCAGGAGCTCGCTCTGAAATACGGTTTCGTGGATCGGAAGTTGCCGTATTACAAGTACTTGCCGGAAGCCGTGCTCGAAAATGATCGCGCCAGGCTCTATTGGGACCGGGCCATCATCACAGACAGGACTATTCTTACGAATAAGCCTGATATTGTGCTGACGGACCAGGCACAGTCAAGGATATTTTTGATCGACATTGCCATTTCTTGATCGAGAACCTCGTGAAAGCCGAAACAGATAAACGAACAAAATATCTGGACCTGGCTCACGAGGTGACCGACATGTGGGGTGGTATGCCGACCGAAATTATTCCTGTAGTCGTCTCTGCGAATAGGCTAACCCTCGTTCGGGACTCCGTGACGGACCGCTCCGGGCTCAAATGCAGAAGGCGGTGCTCCTCGATACCGCCCGCATCGTCCGCCGGTTTCTTTCCCTTTCTCCCTAACCCTCGGCCGTTTGGTCTCCCCTGCCGAGGGCTCCCATCTGGTTGGATCTTATTTATTTATGTAGTTTTTGTATTTATTTTATTTTATTGATATTTATGTACATTTATCTCTTCATTTTAATTTATAATTATATAATTATAGAACCCAACCAGCTGAGAAAATTATATAGATACCCCAAATAATAATAATAATAATAAATACAATGGCGTAGGAAATTGACGACCCCTTCGCCTACCATACGATACGGTGCCGGGCCTGGGCGTCTCCCGTTAATAGACGCCCAAATAATGGATGATTGATAAGAAGATAGTCCGCAAAGGGCCGCTGTCTGGGGGTCGCCGGTGCGCGTCTGGAGCTGGCGCTGGAAGCGGCAGCATGCGGGCTGACAGCCGAACGCGAGGAGCTGCACGTTCACCTAGCAGCCCTCCGCATCCATCTTCCCCACCAGAAGGCTTGGTGTCGGCTGGGTCTTCTCGGACTCAGCAAGCGGCACCCGCCGCTGGTGGAGCACGTCGCACGCATTGGTCACAAGCAATGAATACAAACGCACTGCGGGCGTACTTTAGGGCAAAAGGGGAAGAAACTGGATATTTGGCGTACTGGGCTCGGATGCATGGTCTTTTGGCTGAGCTGGAGCCATCTTTAAGCGTCACAGAGCAAAACCTGGCAGACTGAGTTCGGAATATCTTGCGCTCAAATATATTTGATGTCGCCGAACTCGAACGGCTACGACGTGAGGCTGTTCCCTCATCGGATGAAAATGCTACGGCTGAGGATGCGGCACCACAAATGATAGAGCAACCCGCAAACTGCCGGATAGTTGATTCAAAGGATGATGGAACAGTCGCCCAGGAACTGGAATTAGAGCATATGAGGAGTACATTGGAAGAGGCAATTGTGGAAACGCGCAGTGCGCCTCTTGAAAATCGACCGCGACTTCCCCGTATAGCCCTAAGCAAGCGGAATCGGGCTATCGTGAGGGCTCTGAACCCAATGCTGGTGACCTATTTGGAAGCTAGCCGGGACCTTTGTGAGACGGACTCAGTTCTTTTTGGCGCCACGCTGGCAGTCTGCCGTATCATAGGCGCCAAGGTTTCCTCGGCTGAACGCGCTACTGGCCATAGTATCGCTATCCCAGCATGGAGAAGAAGAATTGAGCAACGTATCGCAAAGGCTAGAGCTCTCATCGGCACACTGATATGCTTCAGATCAGGCAATAACAGGCCAAGAATTGTGCGCACCGTCAGGATGGCGTCTGCTGGGACAAATGTCAGTTTGTCCCAGCCGGATATAACGCAAAAACTGACGGAGCGCAAAGATGATCTGAAGCAAAGAATCGCTGCTTGGGGAAAGCGGTTTCGGCGATATACCGAGAGGTCGACACGGTTCAACCAGAATCGTCTCTTCCAGAGTGATCAGAAGAGTCTCTTTGCATCATTGGAGCGACTAATAGTAAGTGAAACGGGCCCAGCACCGAATCAGGCCGACACTGTAGCATTCTGGCGCGGCCTGTGGTCAGAGCCCGTAAACCACAGCGAGGGCCCTTGGACGGAAGTTGTGGCGAGTCAGTGTGCGGGTATTACGCCCATGGACCCCGTCATCATAACACCGGATGACGTAGCTGAGGCGGTCCGTAGGGCCCCGAACTGGAAAAGTCCGGAGCTTTACGGGCTGCATCACTACTGGCTGAAGGGGTTCATGGTGTGTCACTCTGTGCTCGCCCGACAGTTTCAAGAGGCTCTCAACCAGAAGTCGCTCCCAAGCCTCTTCACTACTGGGATCACTCATTTGGTTCCTAAAGTCCAGGGTACCACAGACCCGAGCAAATACCGTCCCATCACGTGTCTACCGACCATATACAAGACACTAACATCCATTTTGAGCGCGAGAATCACTCGTCACCTGGACTCAAATCAGGTGATGTCGCGCGCTCTAAATGAATATCGGGGCGGTAGTCTTGGAACCAAGAAACCACTCCTCATTGACGCAGTCATTGGCAAAGTGGTGAAACGCAACCATCGGAACTTCTCCGCCGCCTGGATAGACTACAGAAAGGCATTCGACTCGGTGCCCCATACATGGCTAAAGAGAGTCCTTGAGCTGTACAAGATAGACTGTACAGTTAGAGACTTCCTCGGGCAGTGTATGGGGCAGTGGAGTACGATACTTTTTCATCTGGGCAAGCGGAGGATGGCTGCGGAGAACCACATAAGGATAAGAAGGGGTATCTTCCAGGGCGATTGTCTGAGTCCAATCTGGTTCTGCCTCTCTCTGAACCCTCTCAGTACCTTACTAGAGGGCTCCGGGAGGGGATTTCAGCTACGGAAAGGAGGGACAAAAGTGACCCACCTTTTCTATATGGATGACCTCAAGTTATTCGCCTCCAGTTGCTCCCATCTTATGGAATTGTTAAACATCACTTGTGAATTTAGCAGTTCCATTGGAATGGAGCTGGGGACGGATAAGTGTCCGGTCAACGGTCCTCCATGTTGAAAGGGGAAGGGTTGCTAACTCTGAGGGCATAGACTTACGGGCATAGGCCCGTCAACTTAAGGACACTTTCCGAGGCTGAAACCTACCGATACCTGGGATATGTCACAGAACATCGGTATCGAAGAGACTGGTATGAAACAGTCAGTTTGCGACGTGTTTTATGCACGCTTGACCAAAGTGCTTAACATCCTTTTGCCCGGTGTGAATAAGGCACACGCAATAACGGCTGGGTCATGCCTGTCCTCATGTATACCATTAGACTGAACTTAACGCCCTGGATAGAAAAGTCCGCACTACCATGACGTCCCATAGGATGCATCATCCGAGATCGTCGGTAATGAGGCTGTACTTGCCGCGGAAGCATGGTGGTCGTGGCTTCTTGAGCGCGCTCACCATGCATAATCGCGAAGTGTGCAGCTTCCGTGATTACTTCCTGGCGAGATCGGATGATCCATTCTATAAGGACGTCATTTCTTGTGATAAAGGACTTACCCCTCTATCCTTAGCCAACGAGCAATGGCAAGACCCGACAGTGCAGAGCATTTCCGACCGGGAGACCGTATGGAAGGAGAAGGAGTTCTACGGGAGGTTCTACAAGGCTCTACAAGAGCCTTTCGTAGACACAGTAGCCTCCCTCAACTGGCAACGCTTTGGCGATCTCTTCGGGGAAACCGAGGGTTTTGTCTGTGCAATACAGGATCAGGTTATTAAGACCAACAACTATCGGAGATACATCCTAAAGGACGGCACCGTCGACATCTGTCGAGCCTTGTCGCCATTCCTGTGAGTCACTTAGGCATGTCATCTCCGGTTGTTCAGCGCTTTCTAACTCTGAGTACTTGCACAGGCACAACCTAGTAGCCAAAATTCTTCACCAGGAGCTCTGAAATACGGTCTCGTGGATAGGAAATTGCCGTATTACAAGTACTTGCCGAAAGCCGTGCTCGAAAATGATCGCGCCAGGCTCTACTGGGACCGGGCCATCATCACAGACAGGACTATTCTTGCGAATAAGTCCTGATATTGTGCTGATGGACCGGGCACAGTCAAGGATATTTTTGGTCGACATTACTATTCCGTATGACGAGAACCTCGTGAAAGCCGAAACAGACAAGCAAACAAAATATCTGGACCTGGCTCACGAGGTGACCGACATGTGGGGTGGTCTGCCGACCTAAATTATTCCTGTAGTCGTCTCTGCGAACGGGTTAATCCCAGTCAGCCTCTCGGGTCATCTAAGGCAGCTGGGACTACGTGGCGGACCGCTCCAGGCTCAAATGCAGAAGGCGGTGCTCCTCGATACCGCGCGCATCGTCCGCCAGTTTCTTACCCTTTCCCCCTAACTCTCGGCCGTTTGGTCTCCCTTGCCGAGGGCCTCCATCTGGTTGGGCTTTTATTTATTTATTTATTTTTATATTAATTTATGTTATTGATATTTATGTATATTTATCTTTTCATTTTCATTTATAATTATATATTTATAGAACCCAACCAGATGAGAAAACTATGTTAATATCCCACAATAATAATAATAATAATCTTTATTGATAAACATATTACCTGCACAAAATTTACAGTGGTCATTAGCCCCTAAACTAGGATATAATACCTGTATTTCAGGAGCAAGTTTCCTTCTCTATTCTTGGTTCTATTCCTATTATTTGTTTATCTATGTATTATAAGTAATTGGTTACGGTTCTATGGTCTATTGGTCACTTCACCTACTAACGGTATTGGCTTCAATATTTTACATTTAATATAATATCAATCTCTTTATTTTTTTGAACGACAAATAGTTGGCTTAATCGTTAGCGCGCAATTTGTCATTCAAAGGATGATAACCGTGCAAGTGACGTCAAGAAAAAATTCGAGTATATCGATGGCCCCACTGAGTCCCACAGATATTTTAAGAGGTACCAGATTTCGTTTAGTGATAAATTATATGTTTATATAAACCAACAATATGACATCAAAAGTTTCATGATGCCTCACTAATGAGTTTAAATCGCAGCTGAGACTCACATTTCCTTAAACCAATTTTTTGTTAGTTTTGTACGTGGTAGAGCCACGCTGCAGCCTATTTTAGTTGTAGAAAAAAATGGGTTGGCTCGACCGGGGAAAGACCACGCTCTCAGAAAATACCAGCCTAAAATAGTAGCTTAATGCTGCTGTTTGTTGTATTGCAAGTGTAAGAAACCGGAGACCCATTTTACTGAAAACGAGGCATTCCATCTTATGTCCTCAGGAATGACAATGCATCTGCATTTTGATTCTAAATCGGGGGTAAATGTATATATGAATTGATCACAGCATCCACTTATCATCAAGTGGACTGTGTGTTCGTTTGTCACCCTTTAAAATGTTCTTATGACTTCTTATAGGAAGTGCTAGAACCACATCATATCTGTTGCTCTTTCTTCTCTGGTCAGAGAAAAGAAAAAGTTTTTTTTTATAAAACAGTAGTGACATACAAATACTAAGAGAGCGTAGAAGTAAGAGTCTGCTGCAAGTCATGGACACCTGCAGCCAACTTCAATCAAAGGAGGCTACAGTTACCTTTTCATCTCTAAGGACTGGTAGGGTTACCACTAACAACCAGACTCGTAAGCAGTAAAGAATTCCTACCACTTAAAATATATTTCATTTTACATACATAACTAGTCCATGAACGCACAAAAAACCTTTTGGTTTTTGTCCAAAAACTTCTCCGCGATCATGCGCATGGAAAAGACTTGATCTGTACATCCCATTTCCCTTTCTAAATCCCGCTTGCACATCCCAAATTTTTCCATCAGTTTCTTTCATGACCCTTTCAATCAGTACCTTACATACAGTTTTCCCACAATGCTAAGAAGGCTGATGCCACGGTAGTTTTTACAGTCCTGCTGCGACCCTTTTCCCTTATATACTGGGACTATCACGGCTTTGCACCAGTCTACCGATACCCGCTTCAGTTCCCAGCATATATCAAACAAGGTGTGCAGCAGGCCTGCCACCACTTCCTCTCCAGCCCTTAGCATTTCGAGTGAAACTCTATCATATCCGGCAGCCTTACCTGCTTTCATGCTTTTCATTGCTTTCATTATTTCACCTATACTTATCTCGCTACCTCTTTCCTCTTCTTTCGGAATTTCTACTTCACTTAGTATACACGTTGTCTCCTCACTCATAAACACGCTTTCAAAATATTCCTTCCATCTCTTTAAACTCAAAACTTCATCATTCAGAATATAGCCATTCTCGTCTCTTATAGCATTCATCATAGGCTGTTTCGAATGTCCCCTGGCAGTTCTTACAAGTTTCCAGAACATTTTAATATTTGCCTGGAAATTATCCTATATTCTTCTATCTTTTACTCTCTTATTAAGATGTCTAAAGACTTCCCTTTTTCTTTCAATATCATCATTCGTACCGCTAGAATTACCAGCCTTTGTTGCTAGTAAATCTAGCCATGCTCTCTTCTTTGCTTCAACTTCCATACGTATCTCATCATCCCACCATAACGTATTATTTTTCCTTTCATTCTTTCTCTTACTAACACCACATACTTCGGTAGCTGCATCCACTAAAACTTTCTTTACATTTTGCCATACATTCTCCAAGTCTAACTCCTTCATACATAATTCATCCAAACCACTTATATTTTCTTTCAGTCTACATTTGAACTTTTTTTTCACCTTCATCTTGTAACCTTTCTGTTCTAATACGCTGTAACGCAGTGGTAGACACAGATGATCGATGGCGCCAACGCCTGAATAGACCATTAATTCGGCATAGAACCAAATAATGATCCGTTCCTACGTTAGAACCCCGGTAAACCCTTGTATCCACCACTGCGCCCCTCACTCTTTCATCCACAATTATTAAATATATCATGCTTCTATCGTCACCTCTTTCCCAAGTATACATGTGAATCCTCTTGTGGCGAAAGCAAGTGTTCGTTTTTTTTTTTATTTCATACCAATCAATTTAATATTTATTGTACACACATTAAAACTAAAAATCAAAAATCCAAAATTTTTTCGCATGAAAGCGTATCTAACAATCAACAAGCGTATCTAACAAAACAACATATATAATATGATGTAAAAAGCACATTTTCAGAAAGATACATTATTGTTGAACTTTTTTGAAGTCGATATACGCCATTTTTACATTTTAAAATAAGGTTAAAGTCCAGATTAAAATTATAAATTTTTTTCCGATCTACACAGTATGAACTTATAGTGTCTTGAAATCTTGTAGTTTTATGGTTGGGTTGAGATTTAATTTTATTTATTAGTCCAAGTCCAAGTTTTTACTGTCACAGATCCCTCGTGCTCTCTGAAACAAAAATATTCCCACTGCAGCTAACTGTAATGGATGGTGGTGAGAATAACTTTTAAAATATTTATATGTATGGGTCTTTTTTCTGTACGCATTGTGGCTCAATTCGCGTAAATATAAGAAATTATTATGTAAAAGCAGCAACATGAAAATGAAATCACACAAAGATTTCCATCCGTTCGTTCATTCATTACAGTCGTGGAAACTATGGCAAATTTCCTCCTATGAGACAATTTATGGGGGAGAGGGAGACCTCTTTTTACTATTTCTAGTGCACAGCAACAGTGGTCGCATTTTCCCCGTTAATAATATAAAATATCCATTGCTGTATCTCAGTATTTAGGGCATGGAGAGTTAGTTGAATTATAGGCTGAAAAATTCATTTATATAAAAAAACAACTAACCTGTGACCTTTTACGTTAGATTTAAGCACTTTCAAACCTTGTTTATCTCATAACAGAATAATATTCGGACGTATTTTATTATTAATTTTCTACCCTCACTTCTAATAAACTGCTCAAACGTATGAGGTATTTAATATTCTACTTGAACACTCCTCAGTTATAACACTCTCGTTCACTGTGCATATTATTATAACGTGCGAATGTGTTTTTAATAAAATTATGTAAATGCTGAAAGCATTAAAACTTTTTACGGTTTAACATTCAGCGCAATCATTCGTCACGCGACACTTGAAGGAGAAGGCCGATAAAGCCTCAACGACCTTTAGTTTAGTAATGTATCAATTTCCTTAATGTTGAAGAGTACAGTAATATAAAAACAAGCTTTACTTAATAGAGTTAAAGTTCGATTTAAAAAACGGAGTAATTATCTTAAGTTGTAATATGAATTATTGAAATGAGTCTTTTTTGTAATTTACGGGAATGATATGTGATTCAATTTTATAATTTAATTATTACGTTTCGTCTTTAAGAATCAAATTTATTTAAAATTTTTGATTTTTATAATACTGCAGAAACAAACGTTCTTACAGTCCACTTGATGGTTAGTGGCTTGTGCAGTCCATGGACGTACATCCAACTAGAGACAAAGGAGATTACAGGTACGTTGTCAGGTCTACGTAATAACATAGAATGCCTCGCAGCTAGTAACACACACGTTATAAGTCAACTGGAATACAGCAACATAAGCACAGTAGAAAGTAGCCAGTAAAGGAGACCTTCTACCATTTGAATTCAATAAAGAATATAAGATACTCATTGAGTACTTTTGCATATCAGTCTCGTTCAGTAAAAGAACCTCTATCCTGGTAAGAGACATCAAGAAAGCCAGCGGAATCTTTTTTAATATTAAACTTCAATACGTTGTACAAAACAGACTATGGGGCGATCAGTCTTAACAAATGCTAGTACATTTGTGGCAGTCTCGTTAGGAGTTAGTAGGAGTATGAAGCTGCAGGTACGTATGGTAGCAGCTACTTACCGCTAAGGCGATTATCAGCTCATTTAAGAAAATTTTATGAAAATAGGCCTTAGGACCCCCATATCAATATATCAATATATAATAACAATCATTGTTTAAGAAAATGATAAAAGCTAATTTACACTTGTATCAGTAAATGATTATGGAATATATTTTTTTATTTTTCTTAATCACTTCTTGACAAACTACCGCTGGATTTGTCACCATTACACGAGTCCTGATTTCCTATTATAGTGTCAAGTTTTAAGGTGGTAGAGCCATGCCATCACTATATTATGGATGTAGTAAGAATGGATCGGCTCGTACGGGGGAAAGACCACACTCTTACATAACACCAGCATAAAATAGCAGCTCAATGCTCCTGTGGTTCGTATGTTGTGATTAGAGAATCGGAGATCCCTTTCACTGGAAACGAGGAATTTTATCTTAAGCCTCAGCAGGCAATAACGTATTTGCATTTTGTTTCTTAATCGAGGGCAGATGTGTGGTCGTTTGTCACCCTTATTAGAGAGCGATAATATATTGTGAATAGGCTAAATAAATGAATGATGAATTAATTATAATTATGGGTGTTATTTTGCCACGCAATGGTAGCGTATTTCTTATAATATCATCCCATATCATACCGGAGTTCTAAAAGGCGAGAGGAAAATGAAACAGGAGATGATCAGCAAACTGTTCCAGATAACAGTTAAAATAATTAAAAAAAGGTTATTGTGCCAAGCGTGGCAACTCTGTAATATATCACTCCTGTGAGGTTATTTATAGGTAAAGCTCATTGAAGCTGAACGTTCAATAGGTCATAATGAATAAAAATGAATACTTTCGTATCCATTATTTATTTGATAAATATTGAGTTAAAATTAAACTTAAACTATATTAAAATCTGAATTCGTTCAAGTTCAATTATAGTTGCGAAGCTGCGATGCAGCCTGCTAATAGCTAAGTGGTGCTCTGAGAATACACAATGACTTGAAATTCTGGTAAGTCGGCAGCCGTCTATCTCTTTGGCCTCATTTACGCCGGAACGGACTCGAAAACTAATTGTACCGTTTCTATTTGTTGTAAATGTTGGAATATTTGTCAATGTCTTAAGATGCTCAGGTGAATTAAATTTATGTGCTGTTAATGTTAGTAAAATGCATTGTTTGGTTTTGCACAAAAGCTTATTTTGTTGAGAACTTGTAAATTTTATCGATAGTAGTTTTATTTCGCAATTTCTATCGTTATTTTTGTGGTTTTAGCTATGCCACTGGAGTATATTGGTGACAAAAATCTGTGCTTCATCCTCATCAACATGCTTCAACCCATGGATATCGTAAGAGACGGGAAATTAAAAAAATCATGGTTTCCGTTAGATCGCGGTATCAAAATACGGTGTAATAATTTCGGGTTTTGAAGGAAGGAAAATGATTTAAGACATAGTTTTCATCAAGCTTCGAAAAATAAAATGGCAGCCTCATACCGGTTAGAGAATTATACGGCAGCTCCTTACTAGATGGAGTGACCACCAGGTTTTTCTTTTTTTTTATAGAATTGGATAACAAACGAATACACAGTTCACGTGATAGTAAGTGTATGCTGTGGCCCATAGACATTGACATTTATCCTCAATTGAGAATACATTTATCCTTAAATGCAAATGTCTTCTCAGAGTATTAAGATGGAATGCTGCTTTTCTAGTAAAAAGGTCTCCGTTTCTCTACACTCACCATACGAAAATCAGCAAAAAAAGCTGCTATTTTACGCTGGTATTCTGTAAGAGCTTACCGGCTAGAGCTGACCCCACTACCGGACCTCTGTCGAGCTGACCCATTCGTGCTGCTACCAATCCACGTGACTCCACCGCGCACTAAAAGTTTAGACATGCAGAAAGATCATGGAAGGTGGTGACGCAAAACTGTGGTTTATTGTAATTTGGAGGATGCTTATGTTCAGCAGTGAACTTGTATATTTTATGTTATATTTTTAACTAGCTACTCACCCCTTATAAATACAAATACAAATCATCACTAAATTATTATCCTCGTTACAACTACAAATACGAAACATTGTAAAACCTTCTTTTTAAATACATGTAGCATAAAACATTGTCTTTAAAATCATGTAGCATATGATAAAAGCAGGAACACAGACTCGCTAAATGGAATTTAAAAACTTTGTTACCCCTGGCCAGTACTAAAGAAGTCATCGCCAGTAAAAAAAATATCCGCGTCTCATATTTAAAAAAATTGTAATACAATTTGTAGATAAAATAAGATAATACGACTATAAACATAAAATAATCGCCATAATTATTTTTTGCTGACAACATTAGAATACGCTAAATTTTTCAGAAAATATAATCCAGAAAAAAAAAACTAATAAAGTTATCCTGCTCGTGATGCCATTTATTTGTGATAAACGATCCTTGAGTTTCAATCTAGCCTGAAGTTTATAGCAGCAATTTACAACTTAGCTAATCAACTTTCAATTTTAATATATTGAATATTGAATAAAATGTGATAAATGAATGATTACGTATCAGGTCAGAAATGTGTCACAAGGCAGACTAAAACACTATACATAAGTCTATTACAATGATAATTATAATCTAAAACCAACAAAGAAATAAACTATTAAAAAAAACTATTTACACGTCAATTGACGCCAAAACCATGCTTAGCTTATTATAAGATCGCGTACTCAAACACTCTCATGCACCTAAATATATGTATTTATGATTTTTATACAATATAAAAACATTTCAAATAAAATTGTTTGTTTTTCACCCAATGTGAAAATATATATATATATATATATATATATATATATATATATATATATATATATATATATATATACTCTCTCGACTTCGTAAACACAACAGCATATAGGTTAAAGATAAATACACACGCATTGATATTGTAATATTAAAATATAATTTGATTTTAAATTTATTAAAATTGTGACGCGTACACTTGCTAAACACACAATAATGGAGAGATTATAACGCGTATAACTTGATTAGCACAATAGTAAAGAGTGTTTATAATGCGTACTTGCTAAAGATACATAAGCATTTATTATTGTCTATATAAAATCTCTACTTAGCTAACTCCATCAGCAATATTCGGAACGTGTGCAGAAATACTGTAAGGATTCATTATTGTTATTATTTTTTATTACAAAAATAATCGTTGCGACACCACACTAATCAATGCGAAATAGAAAGACGAAACGAAAATAACTGGCTTGGTTTCTATAAGAGAGAGAGAGAGAGAGACAGACAACAAAGAAACACGCGCACGCCGCACGGCTTACAACTATAGCAAAAAGTGTCGTTACGACTTTTGGTCTTATTTTTTTCTGTCTAGCCCCCTTTCGCAACGTGCGATAAGGAAATTCGTTCCAACTGTAAGAGATAGACGATAAAGGCTCTGACACTTTATCTTTTATCTCTAAAAAGTTTTGACGCAAAATCTACTTTTTAACAATCTTACTTTAACAGAATTTTGCAACAAAATCATGAGTAACTATGAGTATACTTTACGTGGTAGAGCCATGCTGCAGTTATATTAGAAGTATAGTTGTAACGCGAATGGGTCGGCTCAAACGGGGAAGGACCACGCTCTCACAGAATGCCAGCGTAAAATAGTATCTTAATGCTGCTGTGTTTTGTATTGTGAGTGTAGAGACCCTTTTTACTGGAAACGAGACATTCCATCTTAGTCATCACGGGTGACAACGCATTTGCATTTTGATTCGTAATCGAGTATAGATGTAGATGTCTATGAGCCACAGCAACCACTTACCAACAGGTGGACTCTGTGCTCGTTTGTCACCCTATCCAATAAAAAAGTAAGAAATTAAGTAATAAAAAAGTTTTTCTAAATAATTACTTGCCCGGTCTCATAAACACTTAAAATGCCGTCGTTAACGTTTTAAATACAATACTCCATACAAGGTGATCAACAACTGCAACTCCTTATCCCAGTAGATTAAAAGTGCTCAATCCTTATACAGTTGCGGTCACCTAATTAAGAACGATTTGAAGTTCTAGAAGTTTTTTATTTAAATCATGTCATACACATAGATGTGTACTTTCTGAAAAGCAGCTAGTTATGTTATAAGAGAGCCACAATAATAGAGCAACGTGGCTTAGGAATAAAGAATAAAATCGCTAACTATTTTTTTTCACATTTTATTTATTTTACCAAAGTAACACATTCAAATAGTACTGAAACTGGACAAATAATTAAGAACGATTTATTAAACTGCTCGGGAATTGTTTTGTATGATACATTTAAAAAATCACAATTATTGGCTAAGA